GAGTCATATCGAGAGAGTTGAAGGGAGAGTTAACCTTTCCTGGACAAATGTAGACTGTCGCCATGGGGAACACGGAGTCCTCCTTCGACTGTGGGTTGAACTTCCGTGCATGTCTGGATTGGACTTCCTTGCATTTGATCCCAGATCAAATGGTCGTACTGGTGCTCACGGGACCCTGTTATCTGAATCCTTACCAGCTGGTGCGCAGTGCCTCTTTGCCATTTTGATACCAGTGGCAAGCCACAATGTGGAGGAAGTGCCGTGCATTAGTGTCCTTCACCAGGCTCCTCAGTGTGCCGCCATGTTGGCTGGCTGTAGCTCTCCAGGCTTTTCGACAGCAGTCCAAGAGCCCAACTCAAACCAGGGACCTTTGGCACGCCGAGAACCTGCATTGCGGTTGAACTGGAGGTCACAACTCGATTGTCTCTTGGCCCCCAGGACTGGCGATGCAGCACTGACTGGGTTCACGCCAGGACAGACCAGAGTCTGCGCTGAGTGTGACTTGTTGAATTGTGGGTTATGTTGCATGAGTCCAACCCTTGCAACAAATCCTGGTTTGTCAGCATTGAACAGTCCACAGAGGACCCGGGGCTGGTTTGTGGGCTGTGAACTCTGCTTTGTTAGCATGGTCCCTGTGTGTGGCATGGGGCCATATGTTACGTTTTGGATTTATGAGTTGCTATGAATCCTTATCAGCCTTTCTGTACAACAGTGATACAACCAATATCTGGTTGTGCTTTTGGTACAACCAGTGAGTCTCCACAGACCACACAAGACTCAGTAAAGCGCCTGTTCTCAACTTCCTCTGTTGCCTGTGTCTGTTGCCTCTGTGTCAACATTTTACGAATATTGTAAAATATTTGGGGCAGGGATCCAGCTTTTATTCTTAGCTGCTGTGTCCAACTTGCCGCCCACCAGATGGAGTGGACTGCAGCTCTCATCTCACCCAGGAAGCAGGCCGCAATGGGAGTTGTAGTCCAAAGCTTCAAGTTGCGGAAGGCTGCAGGCAAGTGCTCTAATCAAAATGGTAGAGGCTGAGCATCATCTCCCCGCTGTCAATTAAGGATTGTCTACTCTGTGCATGACAGACTTCCTGTATGTTGCTGTCATTATGACTAGCAAAGTAGAGGAGAGCAGCAGAATTTTGGCTTTTCAAAAATTAAGTGTGCTTTAATAAGCAGCCAATAAATGCTCCCCTGTTCCATAAACATCAGCCTTTAAAAATATTTTTAGAAGCATAAACTTCTCCCTCCCCCCCCACGTCCTCTTCTTCCTCCCCACTCCCTTCTAGCCTGTAGCTATTTATGGGTAAATGTCGTCAGGGCTACCATGCAACCTGATTACAGAACAATTTGCAACACAACAGAATCCAAAATAGTATGGGAGGGTTTGCTGTTGTCTGTTAAACAACAGATGTTCAAATTGCGGGCACCTGGAACACGCAGCGTGTTTAAAGGCCAACCTGGGTGGGGCAGAGAGCATAATGCTTTACTGAGAGCCGGTGTGGTGTGGTGGTTCAGAGCATGGGACTGGGACTCAGGCGATCTGGGTTCTAGTCCCCACTCAGCCATGGAGCCAACTGGGTGACTTTGGGCCAGTCACAGACTCTCAGCCCAACCTACCTCACAGGGTTGTTGTGGGGATAAGATGGAGGAGGGGGATGATGTAAGCTGCCTTGAGCCCTTTGTAGGAAAAAGGCAGGATATAAATTGGAAAATCAATCAGTCAATACTGTCGCTTCGTGTGCATGTTGGCTTTCTTGCAGAAACGGTAAAACTGCAGAGTAGCTGTAGACCAGGGGTCTCAAACTCGCGGCCTGCGGGCCAATTGCCAGGATGGGCGGGGCACGGGGGGGGGGACCCTGCGGCCTTCAAAGCGCCGGCGGTGCCCGGGCCGGCCGCGGGGTGAGCGGCCCACCACCACTGCGGTGGGGGAACACTTGCTGCGGCCCAGCCTCACCCAGACTCTCCCTCCAGCGGCCCCCAGGTCAGTTGAGTTTGAGACCCCTGCTGTAGATGGTCTGCTTCCCTGTGGTAAAGTAAGACGGGCTGTTACCTGTCGAACTGGATTTGGACAGCCAGCAGGGCCCTGTGGTGAGCGACTGGGCCGCCAAAGCTCTCCAGTCCTCATCTCGCCCCGACGCTCCCTGGGGACTTTTGGCCAATCGCTGACTCTCAGGCCTGTCCTACGTTTCAAGGCTTCTGTGAGGACAAAATGGAAAGGGGGAATATTTAAGCCTGCTTGGGTTCCTTGCAGGAAGTAAAGTGGGACACTAATAATAATAAATCAGTTACGAATAAAACTGAATTTCAGTTGAGTGACTCTTTCACATGTCACTGTGTGAGTGAAAAGCGAAGGGCACAGTGCCAGGTTTACATGATGCTGCCTCCTTGTAGCCTTGCATCTCTGGGCCATGCCTTGACGTACGAGGGGCAGAGATGCTGTGGAAAGCAAGAGCTTACTCTGAGCTTGCTGATACCAAGGAAAGAATTGTTAGTATGCGAAAATGATGTGGATACATGTATTGTTGGAACTGAGCCATATTTATTTTCAAAACTTGCATACTTCATAGATTCTAGAGCAGTTTGTAGTATGAAAATCCAGTGTAATGCAGTGCCTGCATTCGTATGTAATATGTTTGTATATTCACCATGTCGTGCTGTTTTACCAATGAATTGCTTTGCAGATGGGCAAATAGTTATTTGTTTTCTGTTGTTTTTTTTTTTAGTTTGTTTCTGTTGTGCTTTGTTGGAACTTCAGAATGGTCTCATTTTCAGGCCATTCTTACTGGCCACTTCTGTTTCAGGGCAGGCAGCAGCATGAACAGGGTAGGGATAAGACAGGGGTATGAGTTCAGACATTAGCCATTTTTTAAACAAGTTAAGCTTCTCAACTAGCAACAAACTTTAGCTTCTATTTGTGGTTTGTAGATGGATAGCAAAGCGTGGCTTGTCAGCAGGGATGGAGCAACAAGCCAGATTTCAACCCATAACATAGCTTAGCATTATGTGCAAACCAGGCCCATAAATAATGAGTAAACCGTTTAGGTAGAAGAACAGAACTAAAACAGCTGCTCAGATAGTGGAAGCAAACTATCAGTCAATTTGTTTGCCCCAAAAAATAAAAATAAAAAACCACTGAGAAATTTTTAAAACTTCTGGGAGAATAAGAAAATACTTGATCAGTGCCTGAAAGATGACACAGCACATGCTGGCGGGAAGGGGGAGTTCCACAAGTCCAAAGGGCCTTCTCTTGTTGTCACAGGTAAGGCAGGTGATAGTGTGGGTACCTAGCAAAAGAGCATTGGCTAACCTGAAACACTTCAAGACTCCCTGGGATGTGAGTGTGAGCTTGTTCCGTATCCTCCAGGTACAGCATATCTGTGCGGCCAGGTTGAATTAACGTAGCAGCCATGTTCTTGTGGACAACATTCCTGTGGAGGCAACGGGGAGAGAAAATAGGGATGGGGGATTCTCAGGACCCTCATCAATCCTCAGGATTCTTTGGGGAAATATAGGGCTTTTTAAGAGGGTATAAAATGGGTTAAAACTCCACCGTGGGGCTGGGAAGCCTGCAGTCTTTCAGAAGTTGTTGGAGAACAGCTTCTAACACCCGTGACTGTTGTGAAATGGTCAGGGCAGCTGGAGGGTCCTGGGTCCACAGCATGGATTTTCCTTCAGAGATCTTGCATTCTCCCTTATTATCATTTTGAGAGTTTTAAAAGGAAGCCATCCATCTTGGCGCCTTTGGAGAATTCAGTTCCCTCCTGAGTTGCTGTCAGCAGGCCAGGGGGAATGACTGCGGCAGTTTTCACTTCTCCATCCTCCTTTCGCAAAGTTTTCCCCTAAACGGTCCTTCGGGCCTATCTAGAGATGTCATGGTTCTTTGGACTGGGCTAGGTCTGTAGGGTTCATAGAATTTCTTCAGTCCTGTCCTTCCCACCCACTGAAACAAGCACCCCCACCCCCAAAGCTGCATTTCAGCCAATGCCGTTGTTTCTACAGCTCCTGAACATGGAAGGGGGATAAGTGCTTCACATCTCCCTCCCAGGAGCCTGCGGAAGGGGCCCCCTGAACAATGCTACGTTCCCGGTCACATCCTCCCAGCAGTCATAGCGTTGCTCTCTTTAGATACAACCTGGTGCGTATTTAGACAGGAAAAAGTTCTGGAGCATGCTGGGAGTTGTAGGACTGTCTTTCCCTGTCTAGATAGGCCTAGGTTGCAACCCCAGAGTGGTCGTTTCTGAATGCAGCCAGGACCTATTCATAGCACAGGGGCTGTTTTGCCTCTGCTAACAGACCTTTGTGTAGATTCCTTAAGCCAGGGGTCTCAAACTCAACTGACCTGGGGGCCGCTGGAAGGAGAGTCTGGGTGAGGCTGGGCCGCAGCAAGTATTCCACCACCGCGGTGGTGGTGGGCCGCTCATCCCGCATCGCTCCTGGAGGCCGGCCCGGGCGCCGCCGGCACTTTGGAGGCCGCAGGGCCCCCCCCCCCCCCGTGCCCCGCCCATCCCGGCAATTGGCCCGCGGGCCGCGAGTTTGAGACCCCTGCCTTAAGCACTCATATCTTGGTGATATTCCCTTAGTTTGCCCAGAACCCTCTGTGGGCAACATCTTGGCCATCGTAAAAGCTCTTGGGCAGCAGCAGGGTGTGCTGAGCATTAGCTCTTAAGCATACCTACCTGGTCGGAGTTAATGCTGAGGCGCATCGGTGAAGGGGTGCTTCAGTTTGTGGCTTCACCATGGGCAGCTGGGGGGCCACCGTGTGAGCAGAACGCCAGGCGCGACGGAGCCTTGGTCCGACCCAGCGGGTCTCTGATTTTCTCAAGCTAAAGCCAGGAAGCAGTGACCCCGTTTGAGAGGCCTAGTGGTAGTTAATTACCCTTTCAGCCGATGGCAGAACGCCACTTTGACTCTTGCTTTGTGCCAGCTGCTTCGGCCTTGTAAGTCCTTGGGTTGACACCTCTCAGGAATTCTAACTGGTTGTCCCTGTTTCCACAGCAGTCCATGGAGCAGCCGCGGCCGCCGAGAGGCGCATCGGGCTAAATGGTCGCCTGCTTTTCTGCACTTTGGAGGCTATTGAGTAAGTCATCTTTGTTTCTCTTTGCTTGCTTGTCAATCCAGACTGGGAAACCACTGGGCTGCCAGGTGATGTTGGAAGATGGCTCCTGTTGAATTATGGCTGGGGCTGATGGCAGTCGGCATTGAACAGCAGCTGGACACCACAGGCCTGCTGTGGACTGGACGTGAATGCTGCTTGGGCAGTTTGTACCACACCACTGTTGACAAATCCGTTGTCCCCTTCAGCTGATTTCAGAATACTTCCTTGAGTGCCTGGGGGTTGGTGGAGTGGTGGATTTGTGAGAGAGAACTCAGAAGACATCTGAACAAGATGGACAGCTTGCTCCTTGAGGCACCAGACTTGCAGCAGGTTGGAAGTGCCACCTTTTGAAATAAGCATTGAATGGTGGCAGCTGTTCTAATAGCATTTTCCAACTTTTAATCTGGGCTGTAACGGTGGCCACGGTTGGCTTAGTTGTGAAAGGGAATGGGACACATGCATGGAAGGCAGGTCTATTGTGAGCTGGTAGCTACGGTGCTTAAATGCTGCCTTCACCAACCTGGTGGCGTCCAGATATTTTGAATTTCTGCTCCCATCATCTTCACTCAGCATGGCTGGTGGAAAGGAGGTTTTCGCCCCAAACATCTGGAGACCACTAGCTTGGTTAAAAGGACTTTCCCAAAAGCATCTAACTGACGGCCGTGGGAAACGGGGTGCTGAAGAGATGAATCTTCCTCAGGCGCCAACTGTTTGGTTTGCCATTGCGAGTGCTCGGCTGCATTCTGGAGAGTTGTGCTGTGCAGTCCGCTTCTCCCGCCCAAATGTGAAGCTACGTGGGTGGGTGGCGATCCCTGTCCCCTCCCCACCTCTAAGGCTGGGAGGAAGGTTGGTGGTTCTTGGGCAGTTATGTGGCTGGTCTTCTCCCGTCTGCTGTTTTGTGCTTCCTACCATATTCTGAACTGAAAGCTGCCTGCTCTAACCGGCTGGAGGGTGGCCCGCGTTATTTGGATCCTTTGTGCTCGGTGATAGCCATCAGGACGCAGCTAGTACTTGGCAAGAGAAGCCAGTGGTGGCGGTGTTAGGGTGTTGCCCTACTCTCAAAGGCATTGTTACCCATCGAATTGGATGGGTGAGCAGCTTATATAAGAGTACTTTTGCTTATATATTGCCTTTCTGCTGAGGCAGTACAGATGGGCAGTTGTCCAAGGCTGGCCCTACTAATAATAGTTGCCACCACTTTGGGAGGGTGTGAAGGTTTTCCACTGCTTAGAAGAGTTCCGGCCTACCTCAGTAGATGCAGAGTTTGAATTAGAACTGACAAACCAGGGTTCAAGTCTCCCCCAGCTGGCTCCAGTTCCATTGTAACTGAACTGGGAATTCTTTTCTCCGGTCACATGTGGTCAGTTGGCTGGGACCCTGCTGAGGCCAACGGAGCTGGCTGCATAGCACTTCTCTACTCTCTGTCCTGCTTTCCACACTTCAGAGGTCAGAAGCATCAGCTGCGTCTGCTTCCACTGTGAATTCGCTGTGTGGCAAATCAGGCTTAAGATCCGTTCCTCCATCTGAAGAATCTTTTAAAAAAAAAGTGTTGAGGCACCATAAAACTGAGGAGTGCGATATAAATGAATCATGTTGTGGGAAGGGCTAGGTTTTCTCCAGTTCTGTTACAAAGGGCAGCAATGCTCTTGTGGGCATAATCTCGGCTGTGTTTTGGTGAGAGGTGTTTAATTGTTGTGGGTGACACGGCTGGCAGCTTCCTTCCTGTGCAAAGCTAGGCAATTAGCTTCCCCCTTCCTCCCCCATATTCCATGGAATGAGGGAGTTGCCTGAATTTGCATGTAAGCCGTGCAAATTATGCTCTCCTCGTTTCAAGCCAATTGGCTATTATCCTGCAGTGACTGATTACTCAGAAATGAGTGAGGTGGAATGTTGGACTGTATGCCGCATACTTCAACCTGACTGGGAAACACCAGTGTGGAGAACTGCTCAGCTGTAGAGGCTGGGAGTGGCATCTGCAAAGTAACCGTCCCTCTTTGGGCCCTCTTTCCCAGGGTGGCTGGGGATAATGGGGGTTGCAAGCAATATAGCCGAGTGCTTTTCATCCTCACCAGGTTGCCAGTTTCTCCCCAAGTGGAGGTGGGTCCCATGGAGTGGAAGGTCTGGCTCTCTTGGCTGGCTCTTGTTTTCCTTGCGTTCTGCATAGTCATTGGACTGCAGGTGACGCTTGCTGTGTCAGGCCTTCGGGCATCAACCCCCCACTCTCTGCCATAAGAGCTGCTCCAGCACACGCACATCTCCTCTCTGCCCGCATGCCTTCCCCAGCGTGGCCGTCTGGGTGCCTCACTGGCTCCCTCCCCGCAGGGTGAGACTTCAGAAGCGCCCTGTTGCTGCTGTTCCGCAGTGATTGGTGATCAAGGGTGCGTGTTCTCTCATCTGTCAATGGCTAGCGGCCGCTGATCGCCCCGTTCTCTGTAAATTGAAGCTCAGTCCCCTTTGAAGCCATCCAAGCTCATTTTTTTATTGATTAGGATATTTTTATCCCATCCTGTATCAGTCATCTCTGGATGGCTAACAATATGATAAATACCTAATAAATACAACAATCAGTACCAAGATAAAATACGACTGAGGATGTTAATAAAACCTGATTAAAATATTTAAACTTTCAAATATTGGATAAATAAACTGGTCTTAACCTGGCACTGAAAAGCATATAACATTGGTGCCAGGCGAACCTCTCTGGGAAGCGTATGGTCACCACCCTACCTTTTGGTAGCCAGTTCTAATGTTTAATGGCTGTTTGAATAACCTACTTCCTTTTGGCTTTCCTGTGCCTGGTGTGTGTTCATGTATTCCGGAAACCAGCTGAGGATGATGCTCCATGTGTCTGAGTTGGGTCCTGGTGACCACTGCCCCCGCCTCGTCCACTTTCCTGAAAATCCCAGCCTCATGTGCCAATAGCCAGTAATTTGTTCTAACATTTTCCCACCTGGATATTTTTGGAAGAAACAGAAATATCACCTTCTGTCCCCTTTTTAAATGCCAATATTGGAGTATTTTATCATTAAATTCTTTCTGTCCCTAAATAGTTTCAGGGCCGTTAACAAAAGAAGTGAACTCTAAATACGCAGCCAACTTTTCAGAACTATACACCCATAAAATGAACCAAAAAGCACCAGCCGTCCTTCCCTCCCTCCATTTGTTCTTTTGATGGGTTACCAGCCGATTAGTCAGGCTTCCTGGCCCTTCAGGAGTCAAGTCTGTAACATGTGATGGTAGCTTGTAATGATGGTGCCAGGTGGGCTTCCCTAGGGAAGGTATCCTATTGTTCCAAGGCCACACAACATGGTCACATCCAAGAAGGCCCTGCCTTCATACCTTTCTCTTGAACTTGGGTTAGTAAAGGGGGCATGGAACAGACCTGTGAGGTTGCTTTGAACATGCTAGGGGGAAATATAGTTGGAGGAGGTAGCTTTCATTTTGGACCTTTTAATTTTATTCCTCCCCCCCCCCCCACTGTCTCCATAGCAGATCTTTCACTCCCAGCAGCAGACTCAGTACATGCTTCTACACAAAAGGATCTCTGTTCTCTCTGGATAGGAACAAATTTTATATCAGGGTTCTTATAGTGGTGCTATGACTAGACTAATTATTAGACTAACAGTTCTAGTCCCTGATGAAATTGGCTTGATCTTCTCCTGTGTGGACTTAACCTTAACTAAATAATGCACACGAAGCACTTTCAAAACTTGAAAGTGCAAATACAAACATTTGTCACAATAGACAAATATCGTCTGGAACCGGCTTTGCTATGGTTTGCTCTTTCATTGAGGGTGTTTAATTTTTACACATCGTAAAGCTGCTGTGCAAAGAAATCTCTCCAAATAATTTTTTTAATAACCTGCACTTGCCACCAGACTGGCCTGAGGCCTGCCTTAACAGCATGCAGAGTAAACTCTCAGGCAGAAAACACCCCTTTGCATCCCCTTTTGTACCTAAACTTGGCACACAGATGGAGTCATTAAGAGGCTTTCCTGGCAGACATAAAGATGAGGCACATGAAGAGGAGGATGCTGGTCTCTGAAAAGCAACAGGGCTTGAGCAGTCATTCTAGAACTCCGCATGGAGGAGAGTAAAGATGCTCTGGGGAACTGGCAGAAAGTGCTGTTGATGTCCCACCATCATTAGGAGACGGGCTTCTGTCTCCTGCCCTCTTCGAGAGAGCCTTCTCCTGAGACCCTTCAAGGACTCCCCCCTGAAGAGTGTTCTGCCATGCTTGGCTGGCAGTGGCTGGACCTCGCTGCCCTCTTCTCCTGCCTTCACACTCCACGTCCCCCAGCTTTCAGGAGCCTGCCATGGCTTTCTCACAGAGGTGGAAAAGACCTCTCTGCTTCTCCGCTTCATCATGCCGAAACCACGTCCTTGAGCATATGTACATATTGGTTGCCCCCATAACTTTTTATAGTGTACACTAAAAAGGGAGAGAAGCCACAGTATCCCTCCTTATTCTGTCTCTTCCCACTGGCAGCTCTCGCAAGCATGTTTTTAAAAAGTTTAGCTTTCCACTGTGGAATCCAAACTTTGCAGAGTGACGGGAGAGAGCGCATGGGGACTGGAGCCAGAGTCCTTCCTTGGCAGCCCTCGTGCAAACTGAGGCATCGTAAGGCATTTGGGTATTGAAATGCATTTACGGCCATTTAATAGCTTCCGGAGGGGGAGGAGGATATTATAGGTGAGCTTTGTTAAAGTTTGCCGTGAATCAACTTCTTTGTAACCTGATGTTACGCAAAGCATTTTAGGAATTTCCTTTTTTCGGCTCCTTTTGGCCAACCGCTGGGACTAGCCGCAGTGCTTTCCAGGTAGAGCTGGGAGACCTTGCTTGGTACGGTTAGGAGAGCCTCCAAATGGAGAGCATTGTGGGGGGTAGGGGGGAAAGGGGAATCGGGCATGATTAGGTGCATCTGCCTTGGATGCGGAGGCTGTGGCAGCCCCACACAGTTTTTCCTGGCAGACTAAGGGTGTGTTCCTGGGCACAGCCCAGGGACCCACATTGTCCAAATAAGCAATGGCTTGCCCTTGCCAAGATAATTGTGTAATGTATCATATGCCCCTTCTCTTTTTGGGATGGTTTGCAGAAAGACAGCACAGAACTGGAGGACTGGGGGATTAGACCATCCTACTGGAAGGATAATCCTTGGATGGCAGGAATTAGATGCATGGATAAAGCAGCATGGCAGTCTGAGAAGTAGAGCCTGGTCCAGCTCTGCTCAGGATGAAGCCTCTCTGTACCTTGGGGAAAGACCATAGTTCAGCAGCAGGGCGCATGTCTTACCTACAGAAGGGCCCAGGTTCATTTCTTTGGCTTCTGCACTTGAAAGAATCTACCAGTCACGGATGGGGAAGACTTTCCTCAACCCAAGGACCTGGGCAGCTGTTCTAGTCAGAGAAGACAATGCTGGGCTAGGTGGACCAATGGTCAGCCCAGTAGAAGCCTGAGCATCACTCCTGGATCCTAGGGGACAAGTCTCAGGCCAGCCACTGTCCAAGAATGGAGCCTCTGGGCTGTGAGGGGTTCTTGGGCGCACTCGGAGCGGTGCGGATGCACAGCAGTACAATCGGTTTGGACATTCCCATTAACAGCGCCGGAGGTCGTCCTTCCTGGGGTCCTGCGGAGGCTGTCAGGGATGGTGTACGAGTAGACCTCATGCTGATGGCGAGCTGCAAACTGAAGAAGCGCCTAGCTTGGCGCTTTACTGCGGCATGAACTCGGTTGTTCTCCACTCCTCACGCTTCCCTCTCCTTCTGCAATATGAAGATGATACTGACTTACCATTTAAGGATGCTACAGAGATTGCAGCTGGATAATGTATGCAAAACAACTTTGGATGCTGGAGGGCCACCATCTTTAGTTAATTCATCCATTGAAATCTCTTTACTTGGACCATAAAGGCATCCCCGATCAGTCAGGAGGGCTCTGAAGATGCTGTGACATCACCATCTAATCACTGCCTCCTCCTCCTCCCTGCCCATTCTACCTCACTCCAACCCCAACCTGCTTTTTAGAACAATGGGACCATCACCTGATCAGAGCTGCCTTTATGCCAAAGAAGGTTTAGCTGACTTAAGTTTTAAGGCTGTAAACTGCTCATACAGCTCCACCATCTCAGAAGCATTTATGTTGACACTCAAAGAAGGAATGCTTCTTCCAAGGGGGTCCCTGCTGTGAAGCAGATGTGGTCTTAAACCTACTCTTTGTCCTATGTGCTAGTGGATCCAGGCTGAAGGGCTTGATCGATTGAAGATACTGAGGGGACCATCTCGATTAGAAAGTGCTGTCCAAAGGCAGGGTGGTGGTTGGCCAGCTGTAAAAACTGCGTGATGGATTCTGTGCAACTGACGCTCTCCTCTGCTTTCCCCTAGGTTTGCTGACTCTCGTTGATGGCATGTTGAGGCACACTGAGCCGCAGTGGAGTGGGTGTGTGTCAGCGAGGGGGCTGCTCTAACAGCTGGGTGTGCACCAATATGGGCCAGTGTGTCACGAAATGCAAGAATCCTTCTTCCACCCTTGGCAGCAAAAATGGTGATCGGGAATCTGGCGGCAAGACTCATGGCAAGCGGAGCGGGATTCAGAAGGAAGAGCACAGCACCGTCGGTGGGAAATCGTCCGGGGACATCCTTGTCAACGGGACAAAAAAGATGGAGGCTGCTGTAGAATGCGGTCAGCCGCCAGGTTCCTCTGGGGACTCAAAGAAGGAGCCAGCTTCTGCCACAGAGGAATCCTCCCTGCACAGGACTGAGGAATTATTTAGGAGATACAAGGACGAGCGGGAAGATGCCATATTGGAGGAGGGCATGGAGCGTTTCTGCAATGACCTCTGTGTTGACCCCACCGAATTCAAAGTGCTCGTCCTGGCATGGAAGTTCCAGGCGGCTACCATGTGCAAATTCACAAGGTGAGTTTGTGTGGCCTTCCGCTGCCAGCCTCCGCCTTTCAAGAGTCTTGGCCAGCTCAGCATCCTAACCTGTCCATTAATCAAATGTGTGCATGAGAGCCTGTTTTCTGATGAAAATCACATTAGGTGTGCCAGTACATATGCATTGTCTTTAGAAAAGGATTCCCCTTTTCTCTCAAATGAGGAGGATTGCCTCTTAAGATAATTACCTGTTATGGGTAATTTGATTTTAAAATACCAAAATCCGTGTTCGTGCAATGCCGTCAACAAGGGGATTCCCCAAATGCACAAGCTTTTGAGATCTCTAGACCTCTCTCTCAGACAAGCTGTCGTCAGAAGCAGTTTGGGTGAGAAGGGGTGAGGAGGAGAAAGGGCTTGATGCCGAGGCCCCATCGTCTGCATGTTCAGAATCCTGAAGTGGGATGCGAGTGCTGGGGAGAGCAGGAATTTGCGGGCAGACAGTTCTCTGCAGGTCCTGCAGTTTACGGGGAGGGGTCTGCTGCCACCTTTAGGGCTGCTGGGATGAAGAAAGAAAGAAAAATGTTGGATGCTCGATTTTATATATGGATTTTAAACACACACACACACACACACACACACACACCCCTCCACCTTAATATCTCCTGACGTGAGGAAGTCTCAGATTCTTCCTTCTAAAAAAAGGCAGGCTGTGATGATGGGGAGAGAATGTGCTGCAGACCAAGTTGTTCTTCTTGCCTTTGAGGGGGAATAACATTGCAAATAGGCTCTCTGGATGGAGCCTGGGTGCCTTGTGCTGTGTGGGAAAAAAGAAGGCATACCTGTTCGTTCTTTATATACCGAGTGTAATTGTTCTCATAAGCTCCTGGAAGATAAGCTACAGGAAGAAGTGATACCATCAAGGGTGGTTTGTAACTCTCACGACCTTTCCCAGTGAGTGTGAATGCTTCAGGCTCTCTGTCATGAGCTGGGTTTCTTCCTTCACACATGCAGAACCACTGACCTTTCTTGCAAAATGCTCTTTATTGACCAGGGTGTTTTCCAGATACACAAAAACCTGGAATGAATCCCTGAGCATGCACAGAGCCCGTCCGTTGAACCCAATCTAGCGTTCATCTCCAGGACCTCTCCTTAGGTGACTATGCATAGCTCCCATCCTCTGACTGGGCCACCCTCCCCTCCTGATGATGCGTCACGGGGCCATGCCTGCCTCATCTGTGTCTGAGAAACTCCTTTGCTCCAAGCCTCCTTTTGCCTGCTGTATATCTTGGTTATACCCAGAGGCTGCCTGCCCACCTGGGAAGTCTGTCCTTGAGATAACATAGAAACAGAGCGAGTCAGAAGGGGCCTCCCGGGCCATCTAGTCTGACCTCTGGCACCAGCCGGCTCTGCTCATGACATGCCCACCACGTTCACGTCCAGCCTGTCCTTGAACACCCGCACCGATGGGGCCTCAACGACCTCTCGTGGAAGCCCATTCCACACCCTCGGGGTCCTGACTGGCAGGAAGTGCTTCCTGGCATCCAAACTAAACCTTGGCTCCCTGAGCTTTGCTCCGTTGGAGCACGTCCTGCCTTCCTCTGCAGGAGAGAACAAGTCTCTACCCACCTCCGTGTGACACCCCCTCACATATCTGCATGTCGCCAACAGATCCCCTCTGAGTCGCCTCTTCTCCAGGCTGAAGAGACCCAGTTCCCTCAGTCTCGCCTCATATGGCATCCCCTGCAATCCGCCCACCATCCTTGTGGCCCTACGCTGCACTGACTCTAACCTGGCTATATCCTTCCTGTCAGGGGCAGAACTGAGCACAATGCTCCAGCTGCGGGCGCACCAGAGTCGCGCAGAGTGGTATAAGCATCCTTGCTTGTCTCCCCTAAGTGTCTGAGGATGCCACACAGTGCCAGGCCCTCTCTTTTATCTTCTGGTTCTGATTCTTCTGGAGACCAGCCTGCAGCCCTTGAGAAAGTGCGCCCAAAACAGCCTCCTGTCTCATTCCCAACACCATCTGCCATCAAGGGTACGAAGGGGCTGATTTAGCTAACCTTCCTAGGATAGCTTCCAGGTGGTAGTTTGGCAGTCGGGGGCATTTGCTTCTTTCTATAGTTCTGCAGGAGCAGCTTTCTTTAATGGGGATGTGCGTAGGCAGGAAGCCTGGCCTCTCTGTAGCATTCCTGGCAGGTTCCTGGCAAAACGGGCTTTTTCTTTTTGTAAGCTAGTGACTTTTGCAGACAGGTTTACGTGTGTTAGAGGCTGCTGCCCATCTCCTTTCCCCTCTTAGATCACCCAAAGGTACAATGCTGGTTCACCTGTCTATGCAAGGTGCATGACTTCACAATAAAGTTCTCAGTTTTACACCTCCGTGAGTCTTCCTTTGCTGCTGTTGCTGTGGCCAGAAATTAGCTTAACCACGCTCGCTGCGGCGTTTTAAACCCTTCGGAGGGCCAATATGCTATGCCTTGTGATAGAGATTTTCAGAAAATGTTTGCACTTAGAAACATTTCTGGAGTCTTTCTCTTGAGTTTTCTAATGCCCTAAATTGTTTTGGAATTGAATCTCAAAAGCTTCCCCCTGCCCCTGCTCACTTGTTAATCAATATTAGAATGGGGATACCTCCAAGCCGAAAGAAGGAGTCCATTCGGCACACTGGCTTAAGCATTGAAGTAAGCTGAGGCTTTATTTGGCACAAGGTGCTGCTCGGGATCCTCGTGCTGCAGAAGTCGTAGCAGAGGCTGGCGCGTGCCAGTGGCACGAGGAGCAATGCCATGCGTTCGCTGGTTCTTCCATGTCCTCACAAGGGATGTAGGGCCTGAGCCATTTATCCAGTCCAGATGACAGGAGAAGTGGGCTGAAGGAGCGAGGAGGAGAGCATAGGGAAGAGAAGGCAAGATCAGCAACTGGGGGGAAAGGAAAGACGTGAAGAGAAATCAGACACGAAGAGGAGTGAGGCGGAGAGACCAGGGACGGAGGAGTGAGGCGAGATACCCAGAGGAGAGTCCAGGGTGTGTCTCGTTCTAGAGGCGCTGGTCTGTGACTGAGCAATCCCGACAGGATGGAGTCCAGTTCTGCAGCAGGAATCCCCGTGCTGGAATCTCTAGTCCATTGGAAGCGAGGAAGCCCCAGGACCCAGTATGTGGGGGCCGCTAGAGAAGCGCAAGCGCAAGACCCTGGAGAAGGAACTCTGCAGCAGTCCTAAGTGGAGTAGCCCTGCCAGGCAGAAACGGCTTCCCTGCCTCCTGCCCAGACCAAGAAAGAAAATGCTCATCCCCTTGAATCCAAGGACTCGGGAAATGGCAGCCTTCATGATGTAATGGGGGCCTAGGAAAGCATCCTTCACTCTCAGTTTGATCCTTGGGATCTGCCAGGATGAAAGCTAGAAGACGACATGTCTTTCCCAAGTGAGATGTACCCTTTCTGATGGAGGGCTCAGTACTTCAGCATTCTATGTTTTGGAACACTTGCAAATATTTTTAAAGGCACGGCAGCTCAATAGCATGCAGTGTTCCTTGCTAATTTTTAACAGAAAAGACATTGAAAACCGTTAATGTGCTCATTTTCCTGGGGTTGTGGGCAGAGGCATTGCAGCTTTGTAATGGCTCTCTCTGACAGGTGGCATTTTATCCCTTCCGTATGTTTGCTAATTTAATGCAACGATAGCTTTTCAGACACAAGAGACGTTCTCACCCTGTGTTACTGCTGATGCCAGAGATGCACACTAAAACTGGCTTCTTTTTCACTTCAACAGGACAGAGTTCTTTGAGGGCTGCAAAGCAATCAACGCGGACAGCATTGATGGAATCTGTGCCCGCTTCCCCAGCCTCTTAAATGAAGCCAAGCAAGAGGATAAATTCAAGGATCTCTATCGTTTCACCTTCCAGTTTGGCCTGGACTCCGAAGAGGGGCAGAGATCACTGCATCGGGAAATCGCCATTGCCCTTTGGAAACTCGTCTTCACTCAAAACAAGCCCCCAATATTGGACCAGTGGTTACACTTCTTAAATGAGAACCCCTCAGGAATCAAAGGAATTTCCCGGGACACATGGAACATGTTCCTAAATTTTACTCAGGTCATTGGGCCGGACCTTAGCAATTACAGTGAAGATGAGGCTTGGCCTAGCCTCTTTGATACCTTTGTGGAATGGGAAATGGAGCAGAGGAAGAGAGACGAGGAGACAAAGCATGCTGCAGCTTCCCAGACAACAAGCCTGTGCATAGACCATCACCCTTAGCAGCATTGAAATGCAGCGACAGCAGCTGCAACCTGCTAACTTTTCATTATCCATAAGCTCTGGACTCTTCTGGAATTTACAGACGCTCCAGATTTTTCTACTTTACACCTTTCTCTGCCTTGTATTTTGAAAGGGCTCTAAAATGCTGTATCCATATTTTAGGCACTTTCTTTAAAATTTGGGTTATTCCTGTTACTTTTCCCAAAATGTTTGACCCTTGGCTGCAAGTTAAATGGTCTTTAATGGTTTTGGATTTGGCATAATTTCATTTTGACATTGGTTATGCAACATTTAAAAAAATGAGGGGGGTGAGGTTAAATTAACATTGTTAAATTATACAGTGCCAGACTGAAGGTCTGCAAATTTCCATCGTTTTTTTTTTTTCAGGGCAGATCTATACTGTGTGTAGTGCTGTTTACATTTGCTGCATTTTTTTAAGGTTGTGATAATTTTAAGATTTATACCATGATTAATAACAGTGTTAACTGTTAATTGCAAATGCATTTGATTCCCAGGTAAATGAGGTTTTGAAAGCCAGTGAAAGCAGCACATTTTCTTTATAGTACAGCTAACCAAAATTGGCCCCTGGTGTTTATGAAATATATTATTTTTAAAGGAATATACTGTACCTGCCAGTCAGCTGATTATGAATACCTTTTTGAACCATTGGCCATGAGACAAGAAGAGCAACATCTGGTTCTTTGGGGAAGGTGGGTTTTTGGGGTTTTTGTTTTGTTTTGTTTTGTTTTTGGTCCTCCAGTCCCTTGGGGTACCCCCCCCCAAACAAAAAAAAAGTCTGCTCTAATTATAAGTTAGGAAAACTTGCCTGCTTTTCAAAAGCGGGCCTCATGAACGCTAAAGCCCATTCACGGTGATGGGGTGCCTGGAATACACTGAAAGTGGTGTCAAATAGTTATGTCTTTGCCTTTCCCTCATTTGAAGGATTAAAATTTCATTTTTTTCTGAATTTGCAAAGATTCTTACTCACGCAATGAAATTCTCATCCTTCTGCACTGGCCAGATTCAATACCTGCAGCTTTTCCTGGCATGGAGAGGGCTTCCTGCCATGAAGTTCTTAGAGATGAGGAACGTGTAAAACAAAAGATGTCAACCCTAATTCAGCACCATGAACAGAGTTGACTATGCAATGGATTCGATCCCTGATTCTTAAGAGCCAGCTAAGCTCTCTAAGCCCTTGTCTCGATACACAAATGTGTCTGCTTCACATGCAGTGTTTTAAAATATTTATCCATTTCCTCCAGAAAGCAGAGTGTTAGTAAATACTTCTGAAAGACAAACTGAATGAAACAAAATTCACACCCATCCCTAATTGGAACAGGCTGGGGGCTTTTCCCTCCCCAAAAGAATAAGCGATCTTGCGGGGTTGTTGCCCACTCAGGCCTTGCCAAACATGCAGATGGATTTCCCTCTCATGCCAACTTCCAAAGGATGGAGGAGTGCGAGCCATAAGTCTCCTGAGCTGGCAGGCCACAAACCCCACATCCCTTGCTTTGCCTGAGGTGCAGAAGAGCAGCGCTACCTCCGTTTGAAGGGCCTTGTACTCCCTGCCCCCCCCCCCCAGATGGAGCTCTTCTTTTAGACCAGGGATTCTATTTTCATGACAGTGTGAAAACACTTTTACTTGACTCTAAGCCAAAGGTGGTGGTTCTTCCAGATTTGTTAACTTTACGAGAAGTGCTAAATTTTTACCTTCTGGGTGGAGAAAAACTCCCAAGTTCTGTTTTAATATTTTGTCTTGGACTCTTGGATTTAAAAAATTTCCTTATGTGGTTGAGAAGTGCAGTATATTCATGTAAGGATGTGTGTTCTTTCCAAAGAACCCATAATAGTAGCAGTCGCCCCACTTCTCTGTACAAGGGAATTTGCACCTGGTGAGTAGAATTTTCATGATGCCCATGAAAGGGATCCTGTGCCTCTTAATAACCGCATTCCAAACAGAGATTTCGATCAAATCAGATCAACTGCATCCCAAATCAGATTTTTTTTTGTGTTGTATGGGAATGAAGTGATTAGAAAAAGCTGCACCAGTTGGATTTCTGTGGTGCTGCTACCAAAGGCACAGGGTTTAGTCAGTGGGGTGCTGTGATGGGGGGAAGGTTGGTACCCCCATTTGGAATGGTCTTAAGGGCATCAGAATATGCATCTCATTTTGGGCTAACTTATCAGTGCTTTAAATAGAGCTGAATTTATCGTTTGTCCTAAATTTTACCTGCACTGGGGTCTGTTTGCTTGCTTGAAACTGTTGTGATCTAAAAAGGGAGTTTTATTAACACTGGCTGAATTGTTTTGAGACTGATTTTTAAAAGCAATGGCAACATGTTGTGCACATTTTAAAATTTGGGAAAAGGGATGGCTGCTGAGGCTTTCACCTGACCGCCATATTGCTGGTTGTTCTGTTTTGTTTTGCTTTAAAGAAAGTAAAACTTGATTTCCGCTCTCCCAGTGGAAGGCTGTCAAAGTCGGCTTAGTTTAAACACACACACAGCTGAGCCGACTGCCCCCTCGGGCTGCTGAACCTGTACGTTTTGTTGGGAGCTCTTAACGAGCTTGAGAGTGGCAGTGTCCAAACTCTTCTATATGGTGAGCTGGGCAGCAGTCGCCCTGGCAGCCTGGTTTACCAGCCTGCTTCCAGCGGGTGTCTTCCAAATGCCTTGGGCTACGACTACCATCATCCCCAGCCAGCATGGCAGCATATGCCAGGGCATCTGGAGGGTACCAGACTGTTGGAGGCTGTTATTTTCTTTTGACTCTGCCACGGTCTGATTCTGCCATACAGTGAGACTGCAGGGCCAGCTTCCTGCCACTCTCTCCGTGCAGGAAAAGTCCCTCTCTCCAGCCTTCAGGTTTTCTTCCCAGTGGGCGCACTTGGATTGTATCGATCGGGCAATTCTATCAATACAGTCAAACTCATCTGGATCTTAAATGGCTAACAATCCTGGGGCAGATAAAAAGAAATACTTGAAATTCACATCCTCTCTCTCCTGCTTGGGAGCAGAGGTGGACATCCGTTTGTGTTTTTTTTTTAATTAATATTGACTGCATTAAAACACCTTTTTTAAATTGTGAAAATGCTGCCAGAGGTGCTGTTTTTAAGGTATAGCTGCATTCAGCAGCAGGTGACTCCAAGGCGTTAGAGTCCATGTAGCAGGTTTTTACTTTGCTGTTAAGGCTGCACTTGCATTCTGTTGAGTGTCCCCTTTCTGTTTTAATTTCAAAGGATGTTCTGTGCCTAAAAATTGGTGGTTGTGGGGGGGGGATTTCTGCTTTGGTGTGCTAAAATTGGTCCCTGAAGGTTCTGAACCCTCCAGTTTGACCTTGCAAAGTATTTAATCACCTGCTTGAAGGTTTGGCCCAGAAGGATTTGAGAACAAGCCTTGATTATTAAATACGTAATGAATGACAGCAAGTCTGTGCATTTGAGATTCTCTGTCTAGAGAGTTGTTCTGAAAATTACTGCTGGGGCTCCAAAGGACTGAAAAAGCAAAGTTGTTTTAGCTGCCATTTTAGTCAGTAGCTTGTCGGCGGGGGGGAGGGGGAGAGAGAGAATGAGAATGAGTTTGGGAGAAGGAAGGCTAGTGCCACAGTTTGAACTGGGATCTAGAACATACTTGCTTCTCCAGAAGGAAATTCCCAAATGTGTTGGATGCTTCTACATGATGTTCTAGAAATATCGAAGGAGCGGAGGGGAGTGGGGGTTACTCCCTATTCTGTCTGTGTTGATGTGCACAGTGTTTGTTTTCTGAGGCCGACTTGCACGCTGCAGGTACTGTACCTTCTGCAAGGTTTGCTTCCTCCCCCATCCTTCCCCAAGAAGAAAAGGCCAACAGGAACCGCATGCCATCAGCAGTGTTGAGGGAAGGCTCTCAGAAAAGAACACATCATTCTAGATCTCTTTGAAGCTTCCTCTCCCATCATGATGCTTGATTGTTTGCTCACTGCATGGGGGCAGGTTTGCTCTTTTCGGAAAGCCGCACAGCCAAAATTATGAGCGTTTTGCCTAACCTTCATGCATCTGGTTGCGAGTGAAATTTTATCCCACTGTGATGAGACGTGAGTCAGATGAGTCACCTTGTTCCTTGCAGTGGCAAAGCCCACGCCTGGTGTGCCGAACATCCTGGATTTGATCCATGGCACAGTGCAGTGAAAGTCAGTGGGAAAGACTCTCTGCTGGGGGGCCTTAGGGAGCAACTGCCGGTCCTAAGAGACGATGCTTGACAAGGAGGACTGATGCTTTAGTCTGTACACAGCCATGAAGCTCCTCACCGGTTGTAGCCCCTGCACCTTGGCCCACTCCAGGCTCATAAAGTTCAGTGTTGGTGTTGCCCGGAATCAAGTGTTCATCAGTGTTTCCTGAATCAGTTTGTTGCAGGTACAGGTGGCTGACGGCCTATATTTAAAAGGGAATTAGGCAAATTCGTGGAGGGTCAGAAGGGTCCTGTGCAATGACTGTGTTACCAGCTGCTAGCTGCTGGGAGTAAAACTCGGGGTGTGCCATTCCTTCCACTGCCTGGTTCTGCTCTGCCCACTGGCATCCAGTTGGTTACTGTGAGAAGCAGGATACTAGAGCAAATGGTCCACTAGTCTTACATCTTTATGACCACCAGCATGTCTTCTAGGTTCACTGAAGAAAGAGTAGCTTATATGTGTTCTGTTTCTGCAGGTTGAAATGAAGGGGAACTTCGAACACACAAAAACATGTCTTTGGGATGCACACAGGGATTTCTGGATCAGCAGTCACCTGATAGCCAAAGCTGTCCTAGAGATTGCAGTCCTTAAAATACAATGGGATTCATGCATAACATGAGAACAGTTTAGCTATGGACAGACATGGTGCACACACATCCAAACGATATCCTATGTCCTGATTCAAAATCTATCATACACTGCCTAATGGTTGGGGGAGTGGAGGAATCGCTCAGGAAGGTGCTGCAGAGATAACCATGTGGCACACGGGGGACCTTGGTGAGGGGCTCATTCCACAACTGGAGGTTACTGCTGAGAAGGCCCCTTCCTGGTTGCCACCCCCTGAACCTCCCTCAAAGGAGGCTCTGGGAAGAGGGCCTTTGATGAAGACCATCATACCTGGTAAAGTTCATGCTAGAAGAAGTCCTCTATGGGTATTCTATGTTCTCTATGAGAGCCTGTGGGAGGAGTAAACAACCTGAGACCATCCAGATGTTTTGGACTGTAGTTCTCATAATGCCTGACCATTATGGGCCATGCTAGCAGGGACTGGGGAAAGTTTGTTTAAAACATGATTCCTGTCCTATGCATAAAAGTTTCAGGACAATCCAACAGAATTTTTGTCAAAAACATCTGGAGAGTGCTAGGTTGCCTCCCCTTGGCCTGTACCATTACTGTGTCCAAAATAATTAATTGGGTCGGTTCACCGCTGAACACTTACAAATATCTCTGGTACCTGAAAGGAAACTGCCATACTGGGTGCATTGCCTATGCGAGAATTTCTCAAGCAGAAAGACCTTATGCAACATTTCCTTCTCACCGTGCCTTTCCTTCTGTCAGGGTGGGGAGACGGTATGCTGGGAATGCCTGGCACAGGTGAAGAAGATGCCCTGAAACCGCATCCATCAACAAGCATCTTTCTGTTCCTGTACCTGGATCATACTGGGCAAAGCAGAAGGTAGGACTCAGGTGTTGCGAGGAGGAAACCCACCTGCCGTTATGGGAACTGGCCAAGGACTTGCCTTTCTGTGTGCTTCCCATTTTAAGCCCCAAAAGGCAAGAGTCTGAATACTGCTGTACTACAGCATCTGGTTCCATCGCCAGGGCTTGGCATTAAAACCCTATTGTGTGTGTGGACGGGTATTTGTCAGGAATCTGGCCCTGTGAAGTTGTTTATCTTTGAGCTGGTTTGTGTGTTTGGTTATTGAGAGGAGATGGTGGAACGGGGGTCAAACAGCATGCCACGCTTTCTTTCTCGTTGAATCTTTTGAAACGTGCCCTTGGGGTTTCTGAATGGGTGCAGTGCTGAGAATTAGGCCCTGTCTGAACATACGACCGGTTTGTAAAAATGAGCGCGCATACTGAAATTTGCTGCCACTTGGCAGTCAGTGCTGTGGGGACTCACTGAACACCGCCTGGGTAATTACGTGCTGGAAAACAAGCGGATGGCTGGAGTTTCTGTGGCGTCCTGCTGCCTTTTTCCAGAAATGCGTGTTTACTCGTATCTCTTCCCCTCCCAGCCGCGCTCCTGGTCATAAAATATTTACACTTCCTACAGATGGCACAGCAATATGGCTTATGGATCCGTTCAAGATGACAGTGCCTGCTCTGGGCCAATGGTGCAGTCCTACTAACCCTCAGGTTGCACCCGAGTCGCTTCAGCAAGAGCTGGCCTGAGGTAGCCTTTGAAATGTCATTTCCCACGTGTGCTGAGCCATTGCCAGGTGCTACACGGCACGCCTTTGGCAGGTCGGTAAGAAAACAAGAAGAGCCATGATGGGCCTGGCCAGCCTCCACCTGGTCCGGTATTCCGTTGGTGTGGTGGCAAACCAGCTGCCCAGGGGAAACCCACAAGCAGGGGCAGTACTGGTTGCCAAGCAAGCTGGGGCTCAGGGCCACGGGAAAAACACACTCACTCACTCTTGCCTGTGTTAATCTACATGTTTCCCCCCCTCCCTCTGTGTGTGTGTGTGTGTGTGTGTGTGTGTGTGTGTGTGTGTGTCCGCCTAGGCCTAGGTCTGTGTGTGTCTGTGTGTAAAGGCTCTTGTCTCCTAGGGACACCTCTTTTCATAAAAAGGGAATATAAGGGCAGGGGAGAAGGCACTTGATTCCTTCCCACTTGATTTGGTGGGAGGGAAGCAGACACAGATTCAAGGGCGGCAGGAGGGGAAGCGCATGTGGCCTAAACTCCAGCTAGCCAAGGAGTATCTGATGCAGCAGAGCCCCTTATGGCCCCTGAACCTTTCTTTCAGCTTCTGGACAGGAAGGTTGCTGGGGCAGAGGGCTTCCCAGAGACGTGGGGCTCCAATTGAAGGCTTGGGGCTCCAGCCTGTGAACCATCCAGATTGGTGGCCATCGCTTGAGGGGCTGAATGCCACAGTCTCTCCCTTTCATCCATCCTCAGTCTCTCCCTTGACCCTAATCAGCTTGATGGGACGACCCCATGAGGCTCTAAGATAATGAGAGGAGAAAAGGGTCTCCCTTCCCACTTTTTCCACACCAGGCATAATTGTGCACCTCTCCAGCGTATCTTACCTTCTAAGCTAAACAATTCCAGGTCTTGCACTTTTGCCTCATAGGGGAGTTGCTCAGCTGCTTCATCATTTTAGTTGGCCTTTTCTGCACTTTCTCAGCTCTATAGTATCCTTTTTTAGGTGCAGTGACTAGAACTTCACACAGTATTCCAAGTATGGTTACACCATCGATTTGTGTAATAGAAGTATTGTATTGGCAGTTTTATCTTCAATTCCTTTATAATTAAACCGGAAATGGAAATAAGGTATAATCTTTTCCACAGCGGCGACACACTGGATCGATAGTTTCATGGAAGTGTCTACCACAATGCCGAGACTTTTTTCTCGGGCCGTCCCCGCTGGCGCGAATCCCATCAGCTTGTCCTTGAGGCTGGGGTTTTGCCTCAGCAGGCCTCATGTGATGCTTGCCGTGAACTGCATTTGCCGTTTGGATGCCCGTTCTCCCCGTGTGGAGAGTTCCTTCTGGAGCTTTTAACACTCCCTTTTTGTTTTGACAGCCATAAATAATTCGGTGTCGTCAGCAAACTTGGCCAGCTCGCCGCTGCCTCCTGATCCCAATTCATTTCTGAAAAGCATTGGTCCCCGTGCAGGAAGCTTGGGATCTCACTTCTCCACTGGGGGAATTTACGGGGCATTCCTCCTCTTGGCTTTCTGTTCTTTAAGCAGTCGCTAGTTCGTAAGAGGACCTCCTGCCTCATTCCATGACTGCTAAGGTTGCTCCGGAGTCTTTGGCAAGGGGCTTTATCAAAGGCCTTTTGGAAGTCCAAGTAAATAATATCTCCTAGAACACTTCCATCTGCTCTCTGCTCAAGTGGATTCCTGGATGATTCATATTGCTAACTCCAAGGAAGGCTGCAGAACCAGCGCACTCTGCAGAGCTGCTCGTGTTCCCATGCTGGAGGCATGCCTGGATCTTGCAGCAAATCCCATCTTCATTGTGGAGCATGTGCTTCGTCTGCAAACAGACCCAGGTTCAAATCTCCGGCATATCTAGATAGAACTGGGGAAAGACCCTATGCTTGAAGCTCTGGGAGTAGGATGGGGCCGGGTGGAGCAATGCTCTGGCTCAGCAGGAGGCCGGTGTTTCTGCATGCTCACATTGTGCATGAGAGCTCCCAAGAAGCTTATGGTGTCCAGAGTGTGAAGGGGCTCCAGCAGCAGGGGTGTTTCCTGGCCAGGGCAGGT